AGTTCCAAGAATTCTTTATAATCATCTCGAGGATGGTATTCCTGAAAAAGTTCAATAAATCTTGTTTTTAAGTACTTAAAGCTCGAATTGACTAAAACCTTAGATTAAAGAGACCGAAGATGTAACATTGCACACTGCGCATGTTGTCTATTTTAAGCCAAAGTAACCCACCAATTGAAAATCATTGTTACATGACGCCACCCGAATTGCTCCGATTTCCATTCAGCGATCACCTCCACCTGAGTCTAATCACCATTGACAGCTGTTTTTTGATTTAGTTGTTGGTATTTTAGCAATTTAAAGTGTTCTAGTTATTCAATTTCAAGTTCAAAATGTCACGATGTATCTTGAAAAATTGTATGTACTTATAATACAAGTACTACTGTTATGAATATATTCGTTTTCAGCGGTAAATATTTATTAACGTTTTGACATAAAGCGCCATGATTCTCTGGGCTGAATACTTCAGATCCGCATTAAGGGGTTTCAATAAATATTAAGCATCAAAAATCAGATTTCATATTACTTACATAAATTTATAAAAGGGTAAAATTTTGAACATTTAATTTAAATAAATAGTAAATAGGCATTATTGCTAACGAAATTTTGTATTTAAAAAGTAGTTTTATAAAAATGTTTTCTAAAGGTAGTTTTTAGCCCTTTTTGGTAAATAAATAAGAGGTAAAGAATCATAGTTGCTAGCTAAATTTTATTTTTATAAGGTATTTTTATAAGAATATTAGATGAAATACAGGATGACCTACTTAAAATTTCAAGGTTCATCTTATTTGCGGTCAAATCGAAAGTGACATTGAATTTTCAGTCTTAAAACAAAGTAATCTAGTATAAGCCCAAAAAAATACTTAAGTTACAGGAGTTAGGTCCGATTCCACCGTTGTGTTAATTGGAGATTAAAATGACAGTGTTTATGTAAAAATGTCATTTTAAACTTCGTTTAACACAACGGTGGAATCGACCCTTAGTCACGTTAATAAAATGTTACATTACAAACCACTAAACAACTCGAACATAATTTTCGTTTACTAAAAAAAATCCAAAATTTAGCAATATTTATTTATTATACAATCGAATGCGATTTCAAAGATAACTGGATCAAAAAATCCGAATCTCTAAATTTTGGAGCTAAATGCTCAGATAAAAGCAAGCGACCGATAGGGGTTACAAAAATAATCGATTTATCGATAATTCTGATATTTTTTAATGAAAATCGATTTATCCGCTGTTTTTAATAAATTATTTTCGTTTTTTTAAGATAATGTATTAATCGAATTTAAAGGAAATACAAAAAAGTAGATTTATTCAAAATAATCGATTTATCGTTTAATAGGTTTTTTAATTATTTGATTATTTTCGATTTTTCGAAGATATTATATGAAAATAATCGATTGAATATAATCGGTTATTTTACATAATCGATATTTTTGTTATTTTTTTAAAATTATCGATTTATTGGATAATCAGCTTTTTAATAATCAATTATTTTCGATAATCGAATAATCAATTTCAAAGGAAATATGAAAAAAGGATTATTAGAAAATAATAGATAATTCGTTTTATTTTTTGGAAAATCGATTTATCATAGAATCGGCTTCTTAATTTTTTGGTTATTTTCGATTAGGCGATTATTTTGGAATTATTGATAATTTTTGGTATTTCAAAGATAATCGAATTATCGATTTTAAAGGAAATACAATAAAAATAGATTATTGATAATAATCGATTGATCGAAAATAATCAATTATTTAAAATAATCGATCATTCTGTTTTTTTTAAATCGATTTATCAGTTAATCGACTTTTTAATTAATCGATTATTTTTGATTAATCGATTATTTTCGATTTTTCAAAGATTATCGAATAATCTATTTCCATGGACGAAAAAAATGGTTTATTTGAAAATAATTGATTATTTAAAATAAACGATAATTCTATTTATATTATATTTTGTAAACACTGATTTATCGGTTAATTGGCTTTTTAATTAATCGATTATTTTTGATTTTTCAAAGATAATCAAGTAATCGATTTTAAAGGAAATGACAAAAAATATATTGTTTGAAAATAATCGATTGATCGAAAATAATCGATTATTTTCAATGATCGATAATTCATTTCGATAATCACTCATCCCTAGCGACCAAATGACTTTTAATAGATTTAAATTTTAAAATGTTATCTGGTTTCAAACATATGCATTTCTAGAGTTTTATGTGACTCATCCTTTATAATAATTAATATTCTTAAAGAAAGAAGCCTTAATATACTTTTTTCTGAGGTTACAATACAAAACAGCATTTTCTCATTTTGACTAATTTTTAATAATATGTAATAGCCGTAGAAAAAATATAATGTTCAACTCATAAGGGTAGATTTGCAGTATTAGCCTGCGCACATGCTATTTTTATAATACTCGTAGACAATGAGTAACATTTTTTGCTCTATTAACAATATATTCTATTTCAACATTTTACTGTAATCTCTTGCAGAAAAGTCCGTAGTAAATAAACGCTAACGAAATATTCTATAAAAGGTCTTCTCTTTACATAAAATGTCGTGGCATCTGTTTGATATTAAAAAATCACGTTAATTTTATTTCATAATACAAAATTCGATTAAACACCTTTTAAATAAACCTAATAGTTCATTAAGATGCTAATAAACAAAGTCCGGTCCCTGTCACAGAGTTCGGGTCGCCGCGTGTCGCCGCCCAGTTCCCCCACTCCGTTAACCCTTCTTTAGAAATTGGCAACATTTGCGCAGGTTTAAAACCGGTGTATGTTATATCTCTGGTCTCTTTTATCTAAGACTAAAACCAATTAAATAATCAAAAATAGTTCAATCCAGTTATGTAATTACTTTGATCAATATTTTTTCAAGTTTGCCGGAATCGTTCAAACGTAGAAACATTTGGACCTGACGTTGCAGGTAAACAAGTTTGGCATGCTTTCTGAAGAACTAATTCATAAACATGATTTAGGCAAGCAAAATAAAGAAATTTCTTTTCAAGAATACGTTCCAATGTCGCACGTACACCACTGTGCGGTTCTGTGATAAATTAAAACAAAAAACCAGTCAAACTTTAACCCAAGTTTCGTTCACCTGTTGGAAGCTGTTGTATCGAAGCATAAGCTTTTTATCTTATCTGCAATACCCCAGTCATCTAATGAGTCAATTATGGATAAAGTTTGTTGTTCTCCTGTCCCCTCTTTCAATTTTTGGTATGTTGAGTAACTGTTCGAAATTTTTGAAATAGTCAGTGATTAGATACATTTAGGAAATTCTCCATTTCTGAACTGTCTTCCTAATTTTATATTCATTGTGAGCTTCCTTCTATGAATTTGAGATGTTACCACTTTCTCGTGGTGAACTCTGGGTTGATTTAATATTTAAAACAGTCTTATTATCTTGTATTCTTAAGTGAATAAAGCCATCTCTTGATTATGGACCAATTACTAAAGAAGATAACTCTGTAACTAATTTTACGAATCTCTCCACTGATTGAGTATGGCAACGGAACTTCGGAAAATCAAAATATGGAATTTCGGTTTCATTTACAAGGTGACTAAGATTATCATCAGTAAAATCTATGAAGAATGTATTATATTTTTACCATTTGAACTATTTAAGAAGCTTTCTCAACACATATGGTTACAATTCAAGTCCTTTATGATCAAAATAAGTTCATTAAATGCTTGAATTTTGCGAAATCATTTAAAGTGCTATTTTTTTATTTAAAATTTAAAAGCCGATCAATTTATATAGTGCAAATCCGTAAGTATTCAAATATAATCAATTCCATTTTGAGTGTGGACACAGCGAAGCCTCATAAGCCGATCGAAAAACTGAATTCTTTAATTAAATAATGAAATTCAATTAAAAAGCTAGCCCGAGGGATTTTTTAGCTCTCCCTCTCCCTAAGGACATTCTATCCGAAGTGTTGTCTCATACCAAATGGAATTTCAGGCATCCTTGACCATGACAATTAGCGAATGGAATTGAATGGCGTAAACCAAATTTTAGCAGAGCGCCACCACTTTCCTTCTATTTTTTTTTATTTTTTGTTTTTTATGGGCTACCCAATTTGCAGTTACAGGGAATGAGTTTTAAAATTGAAGCGAGAATTACAGTGCTTTTGCACTATACACTATAAATACACGAGCAACACTCATTTTCTAATTCCATTATGGTGTGTCCGCATTAGTTTATCCATACGAACAGTAGAATTATGATCGGTACTTAACTACTCTTTTAATCTTTTCACAAAAACGATGTGAACAACAATGCATTCTCTGTTAATATTTTTTATCGTTGACTGTTTTGTCGTGTGTTAAAATACCGAGTTCTTCATTACATTTTTACTCTTTTTAAATGTGTGTAACTTTTAACCCAATTTAGATAATGACATGCGGTTTTCATCAATTAACAGTGTGATCAAAATAGAAATTAGGTGTTTGACATTTTGTGCCAGCTACTGCGGAAAGTAACATATTTGTACACGGGTGGAAAGTAAATTCTTATTTATACGCGTGTGATATAAGGCACTTTCCATAGGACTATATAGTGTGATATGTGTCACTTTCCTAAGTGGTCGTAGGAAAAAAATGTTTAATCACCCAAATTTGCATTGATTTTTCTGACATATTTTATTTAAAAACCAATCAACTGTAATTTGACAGTGAAATCAAACATTCTATTAATACAAATGAAACTAAACCAATATAATATAAAAAGTCTTATAAGTACTAACAGATACACAATCAAGAAGTTCTCAGATCAATAAAACGTATAGTTAGTTTTGGGCAAGGATTTTAATCATCTAATAGCCAATCGGTCCATAATTACAGCTAAATATTTCTGTAATTATTTGCACTAATTCTATTTTTAACTAATAGATAACAGCACCTCCTGGACAAAATCGAATTTGATGTAAATTCGTTCAAAAATCAGTAGGAGTCGCCCATCTTAATAAATAAAATACGCTCTAATTAGAAATCTTTATTTTTAAATCACAAAACAAAAATTATTACTGCTCACCAATATCTACATTATGTGTCACATTAATATGTACTATAGCTGAGAAGAAACTCTTGCCATTAATATTATTATAGATATAACCCATAGTACTGACAGTAGCTTCTAATATGTTATTAACAGTTACGTTATCAAAAAGATAGTAGGTATCCATTGTTCTTATAGGCTCTGTATCCGATGTACAAATTCTATATTTGCAGGTTGTAATGTCACTTCCTGTACCATTTACAAGAGGTATTAGTCCTGAAATAGCACTTCCCAATAGCGGCATCTGGATATTAATTAATTCAGGATATTGTTGATGGATTTCCTCAATACTTTTTTTATAAGGATAGGTAATATTAACTTCTGTTATATAAAGTACATTGTAATCAATGTGTGATTTTTTTTTTAAATTAGAAAAATCGACGTTATGATTAATTTTTCCATAAGCTCCTGAAACGAAAGGTAAATATTATTGAACTGAATGAAATTAATACATCTTTGGCTAATACAACAATAGGTATTGTATTAATTATATCACAAATGAGTAACAGAGATACAAAATTGGTTTATTGTAGGAAATATGTAAAAAATTTCCATAAAAAAATTTGGCAGATGCTGCTGCACCACTAAACGATCTTACAAGAAAGTTAAAGTTTTTAGAGTCCAGAGTGTCAAAAATCTTTTAAAAACCTAAAACAGGTATTTACTTATTCACCAGTCCTGCAATACCCAATTAACTTTACAACTTTACTCAGAGGTGAAAAGGCTGTGTTTTATAGGTTCCTGAAACAACTTGTAATTGTCTAAGAAGTGCTTCTATCTTGCAATTCGTACAGCATACGTTTGGCTGTTTATAACTCCTTGTTACATCATACAACCCATTTTGCTTAAGTGTCCTTTAACTGGGTCACTGTATCATGTCCAGTCATGGGTCTTCTTCTCGATCTCAACCTTTCGTATTTATAGAAAGTATAGGGAAAGACATTACATAAGAATCTGTCTGTCAAACGACATATGCTGTATTGGAAGATTAGAATCCCACTGCTGGTTTCTTGGAAGACGATCTAATTGTGAAGTTTTTCTTAAGTTCTTGTTTCGGAAAATTCTACCAGTATATTTTCGCCAAACACGGATTTATTCTTTTTATATAATATATAATTTATTGTAAGAAATTTATGTTAGATAAACAAATTTAGCTCTAAATCCTATAAGATAAATATTTGTATACAAAATGGTTTAATTTTACCTAGTGACATAGCGAATTCAATTATCTCATTGCCATCTTCAATAGTCCAATCATCTCTTACACTTTTGGCGAAAAACTCGGACTCTTGGCTGTAAACGTTGGCATAATCTAATACCTCAAGGTGTAGAGACCTTGGTTCGGTTCCGAATAAGAATTTTTGTGTCACATTGTTGTACATAAGTAACTTCGAATTTGGGTCATTATCTTTGGATACTTCTGTAATATAAAGTTGACTTAACCAGTCTGTGTCTATTGTTACACTGACATTGTGATTGTCATAATTAAAGCTTTCCTCCTTCTAAAAAAAAACATATATATTTGTATCTAGTGAGCATATGTACGTATAAAAAACGTCGAAAACTGGTTAATAATCAAACGTGAAGAACGTATAAAAATAGTTTAAATGTCGCGGAAAATAACGTTACTTACAACCAAACGTTACCAGAAAAATACATTAGAATAGTAGATTTCTGTACGTAAAACTTGTTAATTGAAATATCACGTTAAATTTTCAATCAATAACATTTCTTTATACCATACAACGTTTAATTTACGTTGAAAAACCAGTGTGTGCTCATTGGGTAGAAATTTATTGCAGAATTTTAAACATTTATAAACAAAATCAATCAATTTCTTTGGAAATTATAAAATATTTTTTATAAAATTACACCTAATATTCCTCCCCTTGATCCTCCCTTGAATATAAAGGTTAAAATACTTACAGTAGGAAATGAAAACACAGATGAAGCTAATCCAATGAAATAAAGAAAATATAGAGAATTCATATTGTTCAGTATTGATTTGTAACTTAAGAATAAAATATCGTACCAGTTTTTATATCAATATCCCTTATCTTTTAGAGATAATCTATCATTACTATTATTTTGAAGAGATCAATTCGTTTTAGTATTATTAATTGAATTCATATGCCTGTTTTTTTTTATCTGATATCAGTATTATTAAATTAAAAACATTTTTCGCTAAATAACTTATTCCGAGTAAAAAATATAGATTGTATTTTTGCTTTTTAAAAGTTTTATACGGCAACAGGCTTCTCGTATACATTAAAAGGATCATTAAAAAGATCAATTCATATTAAACATTTATTTAAATTTAACTAACAAATAAATCAAATTTTGAAAAATTTTCTTTAAATTCGATACTAACAAATTTTAATTTCCTTTAACCACCTTACTCGAATCACACTTGGAGAAACATGTTCCACACAGTGGTGAACGCACCTCCTCTCTTGACATTTGACAGGTCAACGTCCTTAAGTGTCGCTTGTTACCACTGTCATATGGACACGGTTAAACAACATTAATAAAAATGATTAAATTTCAATATATTTTCAACATTTGTAAAGTTTTTTAAATTTTAACTAATTTGTTAACTTATTTTCAACTGTACTCAATGTGAATAGTGAAGGTGATATAATTCCTTAGTTCCACACAAGCTAACTTACTTTTGGAGATTAGATATGATTTTTTAGGGGCTTATCCCACACTCACTATTCCCAACACTGGGTTATGTCACTCTGTTTGTTATTTTTTAATTGTTAATTTGTTCAAAATTACCTTATATATATATAATTTTAACTTTGACTTAAAAGTCTTACTCAGATTTTTTTTACACATATTTATAAATTTTAAGTTTACATCCAAAATTTTTGTAGATAAGCACTGATGATGGCACAATACCGAAAGCACGAAATACAAGTCTTTCCTTTTGAATCTAAACTACGTACACACAGCTGTCAACCTTTTGTGGTTATTTTAATTTCCGTAATTATTTACACTAATTCTATCTCCAATAGATAACAGCATCTCCTGAACAGAATCGAATTTGATGTAAATTCGTTCAGAAATCAGGACTCGCCCGTTTTGAGAAATAAAATACATTCTAATTAAAAACCTTTATTTTTAAATCACAAAACAAAAATTATTACTGCTCACCAATAACTACATTATGTGACACATCAATATATATAAAGTTTTGGAAGTAATTCTTGCCATTAACATTATTATAGATATAACCCATAGTACTGACAGTAGCTTCTAATATGTTATTAACAGTTACGTTATCAAAAAGAGAGTAGGTATCCATTTTTATTATAGGCTTTGTATCTGTTGTGCAGATTCTATATTTGCAGGTTGTCCTGTCATATCCTGTACCATTTACAAGAGGTATTTGTCCTGAAAAAGCATTTCCTAATAGCGGCATCTGGATATTAATTAATTCAGGATATTGTTGATGGATTTCCTCAATACTTTTCTCATAAGGATAGGTGATATTAACTTCTGTTATATAAGTTACGTTGTAACCAATGTACGATACTTTTTTTAAATCAGTAAAATTGATGTTGCGAAGCATTTCTCCATAAGATCCTGAAACGAAAAATAAACATTACTAAATTGCATAAAACCTAATACAACAACAGGCATTGTATTATATCAAAAAGTAAGTAGAAGAAATGGTTTAATTTTACCTAGCTTCATAGCGACTTCAACACTGCCATCTTCAATAGTAAAACTATCTGTTACTACATTGGGAAAATAATCTTTTTTTTTGCTGTAAACATCGGCATAATCTACTGCCTCAAGATGTAGATTTCTTGGTTTGGAGCCGAAAAAGAGGAAATTTTGTGTCACATTGTTGTATAGAATAAGCTTCGCATTTGGGTCATTAACTTTGGACACTTCCGTAATATCAAGTTGGCTTACCCATTCTGTATCTATTATTAGACTGACATTGTGATTGTCAAAATTATAACTTTTCTCTTTCTGAAATAAAAATTGTATTGCAGAATTTTAAACATTTATAAACAATATAATAATTATACAATTTCTTTGGAAATTATAAAATGATTTTTATAAAATTACTCCTAATATTTAACACTCAAATCTTGTATGGTTCCAACGCCATATTTCAGTTATGAATGAATATGGCTATTAAGTTTATTTTTGAAAACATTGGGTCTATATGAAACATTCCAAATTTTGAATTTAAATTTTTTGAAATTACTGAGATATGGCGTTGGTACAATACAACTGAGACACAAGATATAATGGTTTTTAATTTTTCTAATAAATCACCAATCAAGAAGTGAGTAGGCTCAATGGTTAAAGTCATGATTTTAAGATTAAAGGATTTCTAGTTCGAATCCTGTAGATGGCAAATATTTTATTTTAATTTAATAAATTAAATATTTATTCTAATGCATAGGTAGGATTTTCCACTGTTGTGCTCACCTAACAGTGCTGTTCCTAAAGTGACTAACTCCTGTTTTTTTGTAAAAATGAGATTTTGTTATCATTGCTACCTGCTGACCAAACTTCGGAGTGTCAACTTAACCGGTTAATTTTAAATTGAAATAATATAAAAAAATTTTATCTCCGACTTGACAATTACCAAAAAAAATGCCTAGCTCTAAACTTTTGTATAAAATGTTACATTCAAAGTTGTATGTGTTAGATGTAAAGAAGAACAAGTAGTAATGAAATAATGTATTTATTAAAAACTAACGTTTTTCTTTTCTCCTGTAATTTTTTCCAAAACGGAGATAGGCATTTTTCTTATTGAGGTTTCGAAATTTCTTAGTAATAGAACCATTAAAACAGAGAGGATATTTTTTCTTATTGTTGGTCTAATATAATATACAATTTAAGTACGTACAGCATCAAAAATCTCCAAAAAATTCTCAGTTCACAGCAAATAACATTTCATATAAAAGCAAAAAATTTGCTTTACCAAAATTATAGCAATTCATGTAAATTCAAGATATTACTCATATTGCTTTTTTTTTTCGTTTATTCTATAAGTAATTTCTAAATCCGGATCATATTTATCTTCTTTTACTAAAGATTTTTCAACCAAACAAAAATATTTATAATATATCAAGTTTGAAATACTTACAGTAGGAAATGAAAACACAAATGAAGCTAATCCAATGATATATAAGAAATGTAGAGAATTCATTTTGATTAGTACAGTTTGGAACTTAAAAATAAAATATCGTTTTAGCTTTTATATTTATATATCCCTTACCTTTTAGAGATAATCTATCATGACAACTCGTTTTAATATTATTAATTGAATTCGTGAGTGTATTTTTTTATTTTTCTTTAATCTGATATCAGTGGTAACAAATTAAAAACATTTTTGATAAATAACTTATTCCGAGTACCGAACGAATATAGATTGTCCTTTTCTATTTTTTATAAGTTTTAAATATATATAAGAGAAGGTTTAGTGCGGTGAAAAAATATAAAAGATAAAAGAATTATTGGGCAAATACCGCAAAAAAATGAAAAAAAGGGCCTAAAAGGCAAACCGTAGAAACGTGTTTCTGACTATTGGTCTTCATCAATACGGTGCAGCCAAGTTCCTATTGATTTGATTTCATCGCTAGTTCCATTCTCTTTTGAACTTGGCTGCACCGTACTGATGAAGACCAATAGTCAGAAACACGTGTCTACTGTTTGCCTTTTAGACTCTTTTTTTCATTTTTTTTGCGGTATTTATCTCTTGTTAACGATTGAAAGTGTTCTATCTGACTCAATCTAGTGTTATCAAGGGTACTTTTTTGTAGTAAATGATTACCCAATCCAAATTTCATACTCAAACCCCCTTTTTTGCCATTGGCGTAGAATTTTTAAAGGTGTAATTATTTAAAAAATCAAGTTCTACGAATATGTATTATTATCGGACAAAATTTTATACGATGAAAAATATAAAAATGCACTTTTTTCATATCTTCTTCAACACCTCTAATCGAGACTTTTAACAAAAATACTCGATTCTTGCCATGTACGATTTTTTGAGGAATATTAATTATTTGCCTGTAATACGTATACAAAAACATTTATTGTTGGTTTCCATAGTTTCATCTAAATAAAAATATTGTCAAGTTTTAACACCTAATCTCTTGTTAACGATTGAAAGTGTTCTATCTGACTCAATAATTAAAAAAACTAATGCGTGGTTTATTAATATGGCCGTACAATATACCAATGCAGAATATACCGATATGTTACTGACATTAGGATTTTGTGAAGGAAATGCTCGAGAGAGTGTCAGGATGTACTCTGAAAGGTTTCCAAATCGTCGTGTACCTAGCCACCCAACTTTTGCTGCTGTTGAGAGACGTCTTAGGGAGACCGGTTTATTTGCTCCCAACACTGTTGATAATGGAAGATAACGTTTTGTAAGGATTCCTGAACTTGAAGAAGACATTTTAGAACGTGTTGAAGAAGATCCAGAATTGAGCACCAGACGAATTGGAAGGGAACTAGGAGTAAGTAAAGATGCCGTTCATAAAGTGCTTAGAGAACAATTGCTATATCTATACCATAAGAAGCCAGTACAAGAAATATTAGTCCATGATCCTCAAATTCGTTTAAGTTTTTGTCGATTTGTTAATATGCAAAGAGAAAGAGATCCAAACTTTGTCAAGAAGGTTCTCTTTACCGATGAAGTGGGTTTCACAAGAAGAGGTACAACTAATACCCATAATGAACATGTTTATGCCGTTGAAAATCCGCATGCAATAAAGATAAACCATTTTCAGCACGAATTCAAAATTAATGTGTAGGCTGGAATAATTGGTAATTTCATTGTTGGTCCTGTCATACTTCTACAAAGATTAACTGGAGAAAATTATTTGGATTTTCTACAAAATACGTTGCCAGAATTGTTAGAAGATTTACCTCTCCAACTTCGGAGAGATATGTGGTTTATGTAAGATGGAGCTCCACCACATTTTTCTTTAAACGTTAGAAACCACTTGAATGAACAATATCCACACAAATGGATAGGCAGAGATAATGACGCACCTGTAAACTGGCCACCACGTTCCCCAGACCTAACACCGATGGATTACTTTTTATGGGGACATCTGAAATCCACAGTTTACAGGGAACCTGTAGAAAATGAGGAACAACTCTGGCAACGTATTCAAGATACAATAAACTTAGAGGTGATGAAGAAGTTATGGAAAGGATACATTTTAATTTTCTTCGACTTATAAATCTTTGTATGCGTGAAAATGGTGAACATTTTGAACAATTTTTGTAAAATCTCTATTTTGATTATGTTGTAAATAAATATTTTTGTGAAACCTATACACTCTAAATTATTAAAACAGAAATTTAGCGAAAACCATGAGAGTAATCGAGTCTTATCAAAAGTACCTTTTTTAAAGTAAATGAGTTGCGCAATCTAAATTTCATACTCAAACTCCTTTTTTTCCATTGGCGTAGAATTTTTAAAGGTGTAATTATTTAAAAAATCAAGTTCTACGCCTATGTATTATTATTGGAGAAAATTTTAATACCATTTTTTTTGCCACATAAAACTCTAACAATATACCAAATTTCAGCAAAATCGCATATGCCGTTTTAAATTTATATGGGAAAAACGATTTAAAAATTGTAACTTCAAGGCCCTCTGGAGCCCAAACGAAGCAACTTTGGACTGAGGTAATTTTACTTAAATGGACTTATTTTGATCTAAGGAATATGTGGTATGTTTTTGTAAAGACCTTTTACAGACACCCTGTATAATTTACTATAAAAGTACGTGCAAGCATCTTTAGCATCAAAAAAATCCCAATTCACTGCAGGTAATATTCCATACAAAATCAAAAAATTTGATTCATAAAAATTATAACAATTCGTGTAAGAGGATTCAAAATTTTCCTTATATTGCTTTTTTTCGTTTATTCAACAAGTAATTTCTAAAGCTAGATATTTATGTTCTTCTACTAAAGGTTCTAAAGATTTTTCAAACAGAAATTTTAATAATATATCAAGTTTAGAACACTTACAGTAGGAAATGAAAACACAGATGAAGCTAGTCCAATCAAGCATAGTAAATATAGAGAATTCATCTTGTTCAGTACTAATTTGTAACTTATGAACAAAATATCGTTGAGTTTTTATATTTATATCTCTTATCTTTTAAAGATAATCTGTCATTATAAATGTTTTAAAGAGGCCAACTCGTTTTAATATTACTAATTGAATTAATATCTGTTTTTTTTATTTTTTTTTTTTTTAATCAGTGGTATCAGATTAAAAACATTTTTCGCTAAATAACTTATTCCGAGTAACAAATATAGATTGTATTTTTGTTTTTTAAAAGTTTTATACGGCAACAGGCTTCTCGTATACACTATGACATGAATTACAATAATTATCAAAAATGGGTGAAAGAACTTTTTTTTAGGAAATATAGATGAATTCTTTCCAATATATCTAAGTATCTTAGACCTCAAACATAACTTTTTGAAACCTTTCCTAGAAAATTGCACAGTTTTCTGTAAATTAATAGTGTATTAGCAATATTATATTTTTTATATATAATTATCGTGTTTATTATTAATTTTTTTGATAAAATTAATACATAAATTAATTTAAAATATAACATTTTTGCAGCTTTTCCGTGCTGTATTATTAATTTTCTTAAAATACAAAACTAATGGTTTCATTTTATAATATATAAAGATTAAAGGGAAGTAAAAGGCTCAAAGTCTGTCGACCACAAGTAAATATGTGGTCGACAGACTTTGAGCCTTTTACTTCCCTTTAATCTACTTCGGACCACTTTGAGATATGGATAATATTTGGAATTTATATAAAGATTATGTTAACATATTTTTAAAATGTTACATTGTTCATCATACTCTTGATAAATTGTTTAAATATCGTTATTCTTAGCTTTTGAATAATACATTATTGTGTAAATAAATATATAAATAAAAATTTTAACAGAATTCTTTTATTATTGTACCATTTTCCTGTTTATGATACGCCCATGGCAATAATATCAGTAATGTAAACAACGACGCCATTTTCAACCTTATCTGACGTTTAATGATTGTGTGTAAACAAACAATATTGATGAATGGGTTGTGATAGATTTGGTACCAAGGCAAGTGGAGTACCAATTTCCTTGCCGATTACTGCTGGACATTGTTAAGGGATACTCCAAAAACAAAATATCGCCGAAAAACATCAACAATAACATTTTAAAGTACTATTTGGTTAATAAAATAATATAACAATAATATATCTATCGCTGTTTTCTTAAAAAACAAAAATACCTCATAGCAAAAAACTATAGGTGTAGCTATTTTATGCTTTTGTGACAATTTTTTCATAATAAGCACTTTGTTTTGTTCATGTCACAAAAAACAAGTGGATTTTTGTTTACCACTGTTATATCTCTAACTAATAGATAGCAGCACCTCCTGGACATAATCAAATTTGATGTAAATTCGTTCAGAAATCAGTAAGAATCGCCTGTCTTAAGAAATAAAATGCATTCTAATTAAAAACCTTTATTCTTAAATCCCAAAACAAAAATTAACATCAATGCTCACCAATAACTACATTATGTGACACATCAATATATAAAAAGGCAGAAAAGTAACTCTTGCCGTTTACATTATTAGCGATAAAACCCAATGTTTTGACAGTAGCTTCTAAACTATTGGTAACAGTTACGTTATCAAAAAGGTAGTAGGTATCCATTTTTCTTATAGGCTTTATATCCGATGTACAGATTCTATATTTGCAGGTTGTAATACCATTTCCTGTACCATTTCCAAGAGGTATTCGTTCTGAAAAAGCATTTCCTAATAGCGGCATCTGGATGTTAATTAATTCAGGATATTGTTGATGGATTTCCTCAATACTTTTCTCATAAGGATAGGTGATATTAACTTCTGTTATATAAGATACGTTGTAACCAATGTACGATACTTTTTTTAAATCAGTAAAATTGACGTTGCGAAGCATTTCTCCATAAGATCCTGAAACGAAAGGAAAACATTATTGAATTGCATAAAACCAATACGTCTTTGGCTAATACAATACCAGGCATTGTATTATATCAAAAAGTAAGTAGCAGAAATGGTTTAATTTTACCTAGCTTTATACCGACTTCAACAGTGCCATCTTCAATAGTAAAACTATCTCTTACTACATTTCTGAAATAATCTTCTTCTTTGCTGTAAACATCGGCATAATCTATTGCCTCAAGATGTAGATTCCTTGGTTTGGAGCCGAAAAAGAGGAAATTTTGTGTCACATTGTAGTATAGAATAAGCTTCGCATTTGGTTCATTAACTTTGGACACTTCCGTAATATCAAGTCGGCTTACCCAGTCTGTACCTATTATTAGACTGACATTGTGATTGTCAAAATTATAACTTTCCTCTTTCTGAAATAAAAATTGTACATATATTCACTTGTAGAAATTTATTGCAGAATTTTAAACATTTCTAAACAATATAATAATCATTCAATTTCTTTGGAAATTATAAAATATTTTTCATTTAGATAAAGACTTGAGTTACCCAGCGACACTATCAAAAGATCGATAAAGCTGCGTATCGTCAGCACAATTTTGAACAAAGCTTTGTAGGTCAGTAATGTACAGAGCAAATAGGACAGGTCCCAAAATGGATCCCTGTGGCACCCCTTGTATTACTGGTAAGAAATTTGTTATATTGCCATCCAAAAATACTTTATGAGTGCGATTACTAAGATAATTTGATATGAGGGAGACTGCATTTTTTGTAAAGCCGAAAAAGTTTAATTTCTTATGGAGTAAGTCATGATCTAGGATATCAAATGCCTTGGTACAGTCAAGAAGAACCAAGAACCAAGCAATATATTATATATTTCATACAAAAACAGAAAATTTGCTTTACGAAAATTACAGCAATTTGTGTAAGGGGATTCAAGTTTTTTCCTACATTCGTTTTGGTTTATTCTACAATTTCTAAAGATTTTTAAACAAACAGAAATATTTATAATACATCAAGTTTGTAATATTTACAGTAGGAAATGAATACACAGATCAAGCTAGTCCAATGAAGCATAGTAAATATAGAGAATTCATCTTGTTCAGTACTAATTTGTAACTTAAGAATAATATATTGTTCGAGTTTTTATATTAATATCCCGTATCTTTTAGAGATTACAAACATTTTAGAGAGTCCAACTCGTTTTAATATTATTAATTGAATTGATAGGTTTGTTTTTCATTTTTTTTTTATCTGATATCAATGGTAATAAATCAATATCTTAATCCGAGGCACAAATATGTGTGTAAAATTTAATTTATATTTAATATAATTTGCAATAATTAATTAGACAATTCGGTTTAAAAATGTTTTTTATTTTTAAATCATATAACAATTTGTTTTTAATACAAAAATATGTTTTGTTAAGGTCTACGTTACCCGGCCAAAAAATAAATCTTGAGTATAAACATTTTCAACAAATTTACCTAATTAATGGAAAATTAAAAAATCATGTGAAGCGTTTTTGAGACAAAATTTTTTTTTTGTATTTTTTATTTTGTATTTTGGCCACACGTTGGGCGCCAAAATCTTCTAATGCTTTTTATTTAATTTTCTGAGATGGTATGCATAGGGGTGAGAATAATTACAAGAGAACGACAGATTTATAGTCTAGAAGCAGGATTCGTGGGTAGTGAAAACTGTTAATAACGGGCGCCATTTATATCTATTAGAAAATAATTTCCTTTATTCCCTGGCTAGGTGATATCAAAAAAAAAATTAATATTAAATATTTGGTTTCGAAAGGTCTAAGAAATAAAATATATTCTATTTAGAAAATATTTTTAATTAATAAATTTTAATCACATTACAAAAATTAACATCTGTGCTCACCAATAACCACCTTATATTGCAAATTAATATGGGAAATGGCTGAGTATAAATTTTTACCATCTACATTATTTTCAACAAAAGACCTAGAACTGGCATCAATAACTACATTGTTGATAACAGTTACGGTATCAAAAAGGTAGTAACTATCATATATGCTTGAATGTTTAGTACTTGTTAGACACTGTGTAATAGTACAGCCTGTATCGTCATTTCCTGTACTATTTACAAGAGGTATTAAACCAGAAACATCATTTCCTAATAGCGGCATCTGGATTTTAGTCAATTCAGGATACTGTTGATGGACTTGTTCGATACTCTTTTCACCGGGATAGGTAATGTTAACTATTGTTATATAAGTTACATTGTAATCAATGTATGATCTCTTTGACAAATCACTAAAATCAACTTTACGAAGAATTTTTCCAGCGGATCCTAAAACGAAAGGTAAATATTATTGAAATAAATGAAAAAGGGTTTTGGTAATTCAACGGAACTTTGTAGACACGTTCCAGTTTTCCAGTGTAGACAATTACAGCCTTGTAAAAAACAAAACAATGGAACAATTTGTATCTACAATGGAACAAATTGTATCTTAAGCTCGTTTCAGTCTACCCGGTTCAAAAGCAGTAAATAACATTAACAGAAGGTAGTCGAAGTAACCTTTCCTTTTTTCGTTGGGGTTTCAACATTATCACACAAGTACTGCGAAACGGAAATGAAATTGATAATTGTTGGTGAACGTAGCATGTAGAAAAATTCATTTATGAAGCAGCGTTGAACAAAAGATTATCTTACTATGAAGCTTAATTAATTCCTAAGATAAATATTTAAATACAAAATTATTTAGTATTACCTAATGATATACTTATATCAACATTGCCATCTTCAAGGCTCAAAGTATCTCTTACTTCTTTGTAAAAAAACTCCGGCTCTTTTTTGTAAATGTCAGCATGATTTAATACCTCAAGGTGTAGAGACTTTATGTTACTTTCGGGTAAAATGTAAGCTTGCTTTATGTTGTTGTACAGAATAAGCTTCGCATTTGGGTCATTAGTTTTGGACACTTCCGTGATGTTAAGTTGACTCACCCACCCTGTGCCTATTACTACAGCTATTTGTTGAGGGTCAAAATTATAATTTTCCTTCTCCTGAAACAAAAAATTAAACCTATCAAAATATGTATCAGAATTTTCTCAATTGATGGAGAATTATTCAAATTACATAACAATACCTATAATATAGTTTTTGTATATAAATTGTTTGTGAAAAAATAGAATAATATATTATTTTGGAATACTTACAGCAGAAGGAAATCCAAACACAGATGTAGCTAATCCAATAAAACATATTAAATATAACGAATTCATTTTGTTCAGTAGGTAACTTGAGAAAATAATAAAGCTCGAATTTATATATGTATATATTTTTATTCCTTATTTATTAGAGATAATCTAACATTACAAAATAAATACTTTAAAGAGTTTAATTTATTTTAAATCCATATATCTATCACGTATATTTTTTATTTTAAATCTGATACATTTAATATCAGATACAAAACATTTTTACAATGTACAAAGATCGATTTTTGATTACTGGGTGTCATCTTATCTATTAATTCTGCGTTGAAGTATATTTTGAAGAGGGTATGTGAGTTTCCTCAATTTATTAAATATCCCCAAAAATTTGAATTCTGAATTTTTTTTTTGGTTTGGACTTTTGTCATTCAGCCAGTCACTTAATGAATATAAATAATACAATACAAAATAAATGGTAAACAACAATGGCAACAGAAATAATTTATCTTAATATTTACAAAATTTACAAGTCTGTAAAATACCCATTAATATTTAATTTAATTAATCGTAGGGTAAATTATATTTATTTAATTTAATTAATCGTAGGGTAAATTACTTAAGTTGGAACCATATGGAAAACATTTTTATTATTGATTTTAGGAAAAAAAGTTATTCCTAATAAAAAGTCCTGCATGACCCAAAACCTAAAATACAGTCATCAGATATCAAATTTTTCAAGCCGTATACGAGGTTTGTCAAAAAATATGAATTTTGCTCAAGAGTAAAGTACGTTTATTTTTGACAAAATCGAAAATTTTCATTAAGAAAAGTTGATTAGAATTGAATATTACATTCAAATATGCAATTACACCGATCTATCTAAAAAAACAGATTTTCTTATTTTTTATAAACTTTACACTCTACACATTGATGGTAAATATCTGAAAACGTTATAAATTACGTTAGCTACTATAAACATGATACGCTTTCCTTTTGTTGATGTTTGTGAAGAATTTAGCAAATTTCTTAATGAAAATTTTCGATTTTGTAAAAAAATAAACGTAAGCAAAATTCATATTTTTTGACAAACCTCGTATACGGCTTGAAAAATTTGATATCTGATGACTGTATTTTAAGTTTTGGTTCATACAGGACTTTTTATCAGGAATAACTTTTTTTCCTAAAATCAATAATAAAAATGTTTTCCATATGGTTCCAACTTAAGTAGACACACTGTATATATTTTATTTAAATATTATATTTAAATATTATATTTAAAAAAGAAATAAAACATCAAATTTATAACAAAAAAAAACGCTTTTAATAAAAATTAAAAAGTTTCTACTATTTTGGTTTTCATCATTTGAAATACAAAGAAAAATATGTAGAACAATGACAACTAAAAGTATTTAATAATTAGGGTATAACCAAAAGGTAGGTCACAAATGGGACCACATATTTATGTCTTATTTCATTAAAAACAGGCTAATTACCTAGTAATACATTTTGGCAAACTTAAAAAATAAAAATATTCTTTTTTCTCAATGTCTGTCTAAAACAATACCAAGAGAATTTCATTGACATATAAATTTAATTATATTTTAAAAAGCAAAAAAGTTGTTAATCTACAAATTACTTAAACTGTTAATGTATTTCAGAGCAATTCGGAACAACTTGTTTCGGATTTAACTCCACAGGACATTCATCTGAAATCGCAATGCATCAGTTCGAATTCAACCATTATCGTCAGAAAAGAAATATCGGGTCTGAATGTAATTAAATCCATTTCTGGAAAGTTTTCGAGTTGTAACTTGTCCGGAACCAGCACAGGATTAATTCCAATTGCATTTCAGTAAAGTCTCACTCTGTCTCTCTTTATCTCTCTCTGTCTTTGAGGAATTACTTATATTTAGAAGATTGGAGATGCAATTCATTTAGTTACTTGCGTTCATTATTTATTTTAGGACTTATATTACAAAATTTTGATAAATAGCAAATCAATTATGGTATGCACCCAAAATAAGGACCCAAAAATATTTCTCCCTCTCACTACTAAATGTAATTCATCTAAAACCACTTATAATAACAAAAAGCAAACATTCTAACTCTTACTCTCCTCGTATATTATTCATTCTTTATTTTATTATTCTTACTAAAAAATTTAAATTCTAGCCCGTTTTCAGGATTTAATTTTTGAAGTTACCTTGAAACCTTTACATCTTAATAATAATATAAAAAATATAAAATTATTAATACGTTAAAATGAGACTTAAAAACGTGCTTCTTAGAAGCCGAGCCGAAGTCGAGTGTTTTAACAACCATTACTTTTTTATACAGCATAAAGAAAATGGACAATTTTCTTGAAAACCTTTTTAAACAGTATACAAGAAATACACTAAAAATCTGGGCATACTTTAGGGCAAATGTTTGCTCCTCTAGGGTATTTCACTAAGTTATAAAATCTTTGTAGGAAAAGTTGGGTCGTGAAATTGAATCATCCCATTTTCTTTGGCGGTAATGCAATTTGTCTACCTGTCAGTATTTGTTCTCGTTAGGTCAAAGGGAATCTATTAATGTTAACTTGGCTACCCTGAGAGACATAAAAAATATTGAGAGATATTGGAAATTTTACTGCTTGTCTTTAAACATAAAATTGATTTCCAGAATTACCGAAAAACTCTAGAAATATGGGAATAACTACATTATCTAGAATGGAATAAATATTTTTTGCAGGAAAAACTAAATTAAAATTGCTAAGCAAGAATTTGAACAAATGATCGAATTAGGCGTTTATCACCCCTTATCTTCTTCTGCCTTATACGAGGTACCCAGAAAATATTCAAATAATTGGAGACCTTGTGGTGGTTAAAGATTTTCAAATAAAGTAACTATTCCTAACACAAGATCCTAATGGCAGAAGAAGATATTTTCAAAACAGCAATTACCACTTTTTTGGTTCTTTTGAATTCCCTAGAATGCCTTTTAGATTGCGAAACGCACACAATACATTTCAAAAATAAAAGTGAAGGCAAAACCAATTATCCCCAACAGCTTAAAACCGAAACACTTTTGATATTTTAAATACATTTTGCACGAAATACAAATTCTTCATTGCTAAATGCTACGGCCATACAGCATTTATATTTTCGTTATATCGCATGCTAAAATTAGCTTAAAATTCATATTAGTTCTATACTACAATGCATTCGTTTTCAGAGATTGAAATATTTGAATGGTCCTCTAGTAAAAGCAAATAATTGAAACGTAAATAATAAAATGATACAAAGAAACGCGAGTTTACGCTTTCTGGCACTTTTAATGACCGATATGAAAGCGATAAACCTTTTGACAATGAAAAATTGTTGCCCGCATGATTGGCTGTCCATAGTTTAAAATTCCTGCCGCTTGTTGGAGCAATTATTTTGCAAGCGTTTTTATCAAATTTTGTTACAACGCCGGAATTATTGTATTTCGTTTTTGTGAAAAGACTGTAAAATGAATTCTGCTTTTGATGGAATTTTTTTTTATGAAAATAAACGACAAATCGATGAAAATAGAATAAACATCGCTAGGGCCTAACGTCCTTCCAACGGAATATTTAAATGATTTTAAATTGCCAATAAATAAAATTCTGTGAATAACAGTAATTATTTTTCTGTAGGATTTACGATTTTTGTAGAAATAAGTTTTATACATGTTTTATTGTGATTTTATAGGAGTAGGATACACAAATGTTCCACACATGGTTAGAGGGTGGATACATAGCCTAAATAACGTGGGTTAAACCACACGTTGCAGATACAGAATTGTGAAAAGATTAGGGAGTTAATGCCTAAGTAATCAAATTATCACCTGTTTTTTTTTCACCCCCATTTTTCTAGCTATAAAACATTCCCGTGCAAAGCCTGAATTTGATGGTAAACCTGCAATGAATATAAATAGTAAATCTTGGTTGTCTATATTTCGTATTTTTTACTTTTTCCTATTTTTTCACACCCTTTGATTTTTTGATGACCTTTTTTAAAAACTATTTTATAAAACACGATTAATTGTTACATCTTTATCAATTATTGAATAGAAATTGTAGAATATAAATTTAAAAATCTAAATTTTTACAAACAGCTTCGGTGTATAACTTAACGACTTTACATTTTCTAATCCATTTTCTTTTATACTCTTTTCTTTGAGTTTTACACAAAGAAATTACATTTTAAAGTAAAAACAGTCCAAATCCAATACATGTTTGATCTCGTGCTCTCGGCAATCGAAGTGAACTTCATTCTGCAACTGACACAGAGTTTAAGGGAATTTAGAATTTCAGAGGTAGGGTTTGGACTTGACTGGTTCGGTTTGTTTGCCTTCCGGAATTGTAGATTACATGTTAGACTAGTGAAGGTTGGTTAAAGGAAACGTAAGAATATGCCTGGGGACGTAAATTTATAAAGCGCTGAAGGCAATCAGTCCTTTTTATAAATAAATAATAATTATAGATGGATAAGCTTAATTACTTATGTAATACTGTAAAATTTATTTAGTAAATATAGAATTTTAAATAAAACAAAACTCATTTTCTTTCTAAAATATGATCCACTTTCGTTAATGCACTAGCTGATGTCAGAAGTGAACGATCAGAAAAAAAATTTATGAAGTGGATAATTTTATCTGCCGTAGATATACGAGTGTTTTGTTCCGCCAAAATAACTGTAAATCTTCAATCAAAATCGGTATTGATTCGGCATAAACATAAACGGGCACCGAACACAATGTTCCGTATCTGATTTATGCCGAAAAAACACAAAAACGGAACGAAATACAAAAGAGAAATGCATTGGATGTGATTTATCTCTATGAATAAATTCATCGGGTGGGCCTGTGTCAAAAGCGTTGTACTGAGAGCTGCGAGCTCATTTACCCTTGCCGGAGTAGCCAATTTAAAAAGCACCTCGCTACCAATTTGGCAACGAATCGTGTCAAATTACTCGTTGCGAACAAGAACCGTATTAATTTGGGAATTTCGTCGAGATCCGTGTGGAAATCGCCAGAACGGTAGTAGATTTTCCAAATTACAAGCTAAAGGTTATACGTGTTTCGGGGGTCAAACACGAACGATATAGAGTGCGTTAGGCTGGAAATCACACAAATCGGCCAGAAGCGACTGTCATAAATCGACTAAGAAAAACTGCCACGACTGGTATAACTGGAGTATAAATAAAATTAGGTACCTCTGTGTTATTATTTAACTGGTTTTGGTAGTGAATTGAAATGATTCTATTTTATTTCATACTATTTATAAAAAGTATCATTTTATCATTAATTTGAGTCCAAAATAAGCAGACTGGAAGTGATATACACACTAATAGTGAGATGAAAGTGAGTAAAAATTGTGATAATTTTATTAAGAATTAGGTTAAGCGCTTTCGATTTACAAAGCCATCATCAAATCCATTCTAAATTGAAATATTAACTGTTAAAAACTTACATCTAAAATACCCTACAAATGGGATCAATACAATATACATTTGGTAGTGAATTTTTTTAATTTTGTTGACGCACGAATGTTTTATAAGTATTGTTTGTCTTTTAACTCAAAGTTAATTAACTCTGGTGCATACTAAAAACGTTGCGCTTTTATAATTAAAAGGCAAATATGAAATGTACGTTTAATTTATTTAATAGGACGTTATTATGAAAAGTTTAATGTTTGTTTTTAAATACTATGATTAAATGGGTTTTAATCTACCTGCGGCTGACATAAATAAAAATTATTATACATCAACATATGAATTCGGTTTTAGGTAGTATATTTCTTCCCCTCAAGAATAAGTCTATTTCTGGAAAGATATAATTTACTTAAGTTTCTCACAGTCAAGACCAGACCAGAGGGAACACGAAAGATATATGGTGCTAATTATCCACTCAAGACAAAGTGTCATTCCCCCATTCATCATCATTAACCCGTCATAATCCACAAACGACTTCCACATTGTCCTCGTATTCGCAAAATTATTTTCTTCCATTTTTATCGGTCTTTTAAGAGTTTTATTTTGTTACAAATGTCTTTGCCGCGGATATAAATATGCAATAACTCGAAGAGCTTCTATGATAAAATAAAGGTTACAAGAATAATATATAATTTACGATTCAGACGATAATCTTAGAATGAGACTAAAACAAAACCAGAATTAGACGACGTGAAGTACAAAATTTATATTTTATTTTAAATATTGAGAAATTTTCTTTGAATAGCATCTAAAATAAATGTGGATGCTCCAAAAAATTATTCAATAGTAAATTTTAAAACTTGAAAATTAATCAAAACATTTCATTGGGAAAGAGTAAGGGAAATATTTTACCCTATATAGGGGTCATCCAGGGATCACAAAAATGTATATAGTATGGATCTTTCGGCCTTTATAACCGAGCTATAGGGTGTTTTTTGAATTTGGCCCATTTCTTCTTTGCTCTATAACTTTTGAATCAACCTGTAAATATCGAAAGTTGCAAGATCAAATAGTTCTTCATCGTAAATCTTTTCTGAAAAAAAAGTAACCTGTATATTGTGTAATGGTTAAAATACTGTCAAATAATTGGGTAGTTTTTGTTCTGATAACTAATAAGTCATGAAAGTTATAGACATCATAGAATTCATGAAAGTCATATACAGAAACATCTTGTTTCTTTGAACAATATTAAAGGAAAAAGATTTCTCAGAAAGTAAACTATTTCATCAACAAGAATTACATTGTAATTATGTGCTTTTAGTAATGAGAGTTTTTGAAAAATAGACCATGATTACACTGAAAAAAAAGTATGTTGGTGTCTATTTAAATCAAACATTTTACAATAAGATATTTCTCTCAAAACATCATTTGGAATAATAACAATTTATTTAAGATTTTAAAAGACATCTGTTGTATAACAAGGTTTTATCTTTAAAAGAAAACTAGTAAGTCTTATTTACATTTCAATTATTTGTATAATAAAACTTGTAAGAATATAATTTTTATACTAAAAACAGGTTTCAAATATTTTCGTGTCCATTTGTGCCGTTTATTATCATCATCATTACAAATTAGTTGGTATACTAATGATCGGCTTTTTTTCGCTTTAGCAAGCATGAAATATACTGCGGTAATGTATAATTATTTACGCTACATGAGGCGTCGGTGACATTCAAATTAGGTTATTGGTTAGGTAATTATTTACCGGTAATAAAACAAATTAATGCAAACGTAATATGAATATACCTAATTAAATTATATATTTTTATAATTGAAATCTCCTTTTTTGTATATTAGCTAAAAATACAAGGCATGTTTAGAAATAAAGTATACTGTGACTATCAAAACGAGCTCAGTTTTTTTTGTTAGTATAATTTCTTTTGATAAAAAAATTCACATTTTTATAAAGACTCGGATTTTACCAGAATATTGATGAGGTCCCACTGTGCTGCCATCTAAATGTTGAAATAAATGACACGCTTATGCCCTTCTGGCAATCCCCTGATTTTTCTGTTCAACGTTAAAAAATTAAATGTCAGAGTAATCATTGTATGAAAGGCATTAAACATAAAAATATGAATATCAAAGCGTACTATAATAAATATGACGGCAAATCGCATCTTTCAGTATCAAAATTTAAAAAGAAAATGACAATGTCAAAAACAAAAATGGTTCTCGATTGACAAACCAAAGAACGGTCATACTGGGAAAATAGAAGGGACATCAGATATGGAAGAAAAATAACAGTTACACACTATAGCCATATGTGACATTTACCAGTTATATAGACACATAGTTTCGATATTCAAACTAGTAAATTTTAATTTAATGTTTCTCTCCAGTCCCCCCGTTTCCCCGCTTCGCCTCACTCTGTCTCACTCTTACCTACTGAATTTGTACCTCTCACTCTTACACCTTGAATTCCCTATGTGAGGCCGTGTTAGCTCTGTCTATCTACTTCCTAAATGTATCTTTGTTTTAATCAATTTTTAAATAATTTTCTGTTTTTCCTTTGTATAGCAATAAAACAAAATCAGTTAAGTTACAGTTCACTTGAGTTAAAATTGCAGTTATAAAAAGTTGCATCGTCAGCAAATATAATAAGAGTTTATATACGATACCAGACTTGTAAAACTTTAATAAAATTTATTCCAGAAAAGTTGTATGTATATTACTTTGTTTATTTTTTAAATTCGTAATTTTTTCTCTAAAACCTGTATATTCTCACATTCTAAATCAAAAGCGCATTTGGTATTCCAGCACGTTCCGCGCATTCAAAGGCAAAGGCACTAGAGCGTAATTTTTGAATGATAATTATTCGTTAGAGTAATTAAGTAAGTTATAAAAGGAGTTAAATTAGATGAAAGGGTTAAAGTAATTAAAACAGTCTGAAATGAACTTAATGCCGTCGAACATGTTGATAAAAAGTTCATGTAAAGTTATAGGTACAAAAGTTTAGTATAGAAGAATAATAGAAATATAAACTCAAACTTTTTGGAAAATATTTAAAAAAAAAAATGTTCTGTTTGAATACGATAACAAGAAAATCTTTGAAAATTTAGTTGTAAAATCATTTGGCTCATTAACTCCATATTCATTTTCTAAAGTTGAATGTGTTACAGACCTATTCACAATCAAGGACTAATGCGCAATATTTCTATGAATTATTCTGGAACAATTCTAGAACGAAAACCAAAACAAACCTAATATATTATATATTTACATTAGTTAAGTATATCCATATTACTGTATTAAATATTTTCTTGTATTGTTGTAATCTGTTGTTCAAATTTAATTGTTTCAAAATTTGTAGTTGTATTGCTATATAAGTATTTGGTGTTTTTTAAATATTCTCTGACCTGCTATAAATAT